TTGGGTTTAGGGTTTAGGGTCGAGTGGCTATATCGGGGGTATGTAGGGGATATGTAATATGTAGTGGTCATATAGGAGTTATGTAGGGCTTACGTAAGGGGGGTTCTATCGCGATGTTACCCGGGCAATCTGAAGGTGGAGGTTTTGGGGGTGGGCTCTGGGGAGTAGGGGTTTGGGGTTGCAACGCTTTGAGGCTTCAGGTGCTTGGAGGCTTGGAAATTCCTTTAGGGTTTAAGGTTTAGGGTTTAGGGTTCCAACCGTCCGGCATGAGGTCACTGGGGAAAGATTTCTTGGTGGCGGAATCTAATCTGAAGTCTCCTTAGACCTACAATGAAAACAGTATTTTTTTTAATAACTCCTCAGGGTTATTTATAGGATAATAAACACTACAAATAATTCCTATTGAGACTACAGGAATTTCGCCTCAGAATTCATTCTTGCCACGCTCATGCTGCCACCTCTGCGCACCACTGTAACAGGCCGCGAGCCTCATAGATCAAATCTTTGCTGTTGAACTTTTAATGCAGGCAACCAACTGGAGTGCCTACAAAGATTACATTAAGACTAGCAGTGCCATGTCCTTACCAGAGACGCTCCGGACATCCCTGGATGGTGTTTTTTTGTTTGCTACCTGCATGCTTCGACTCCTCGAAAGAAAAACACATACGGTACATACGAGAGCAGAACATCTTCCGCGTCAAAAGCTAGATGCTTGACCTGGCGCTTCACCTGCATTTATCCAGGTCCAGAGCCAACTGAGGCCACTGACAGCTTCAAGATTTGAGGGCATGCGGCAAACGATCATCATAGAAACAATAGTAATTACAGTAAGAATAGTAAGAAAATAATCGCAATCATAACCGAGATATAGCTTCCAGACTACAAGCTGTGTTCTCCAAATACCGAACCTTGTCAGGATATGCTTTACAACTCGAAAACACTCACAACTACTCTTGCTACATCATGCCATCGTCTATCTCACAGATGTCACTCAAATGACGGGCGGGTCTCGCGAACAAGGCCTCCGCGAATGGATCTTTAGAAACTCCTAAGAAAACTTTGCCTAACTGCGCAGCCATGGTCTCGTCCTTTGCGAAATTGGTCAACAGCTCCACTGTTGGCTCCTGTCCTGTGCTGAGCGTGGTTGGTCGAGGCATCATTAAAAACCCATGGTGCTCCTTGTGCTGCTCAATAATCTAACAAGGCGAGCAGCCGGGAAAAGTAGAAGTCCGAAACACATGCGCAAGCGAGCCACAAGTCTTGCAGAACTCCTTAGAGCAGAAATGGCAGTCAGGAGACTGGAGCAAAAGCAACAGTAAAACCAAAATGCAACAGCAGCAGCAATGGAAACGACGTTCACAGCAAAAATCTACGGACCTGCTAAGACTCCAAACAGCAACTCCGCATGCGGGAGACAAAGCGACGCGACGACAGAAACCGAGTCAAGACTGCAAGGGAGACTAGAAGGAAAGCAAAGGGAGCCAAGGAGCACGCATCCCTACATACCGTATGACCCCGAATAAGCCTGCGCACCTTACAGCCCCTATAAGCCCTCATACCCTATAACTCCTAAACCCCAAACACCGAAAAACAAGAGCCACCCTTGGTCCTCCCAGCGTTGCATGCGTGTTCTTCAACCAGCGCAGACACTCCTGTTCGATTAGCATGGCTACTTGTAGGGATACAAGGGTGTTTCTCACGATTGAGGGTCCTTTTTGGGGGATCCCTATAAGGAGGATTCTCATACATTGGGGTCTATATTGGGGTCCCCTAATTTTGGGGGACTACCACATGAAGTAGGAAAGAACATGGAAAAACCCATAGGGTTTGGGGTTGTGGGTGTTGGGTGGGTCCACAGGAATTGTGCAGAAGCGTCAGGGTGTTCCGGGGGCTCATGATTATTGGAAAGCTCTTAGAATTATCCATCGGGTCGCGAGAGATTGGAGAAAATTTGTGGGTGGACCTTGTGAGGGATCAACGCATACCCATATGAGCTATAGTCTAAGCTCCTAGTCTCCCCCTTCATAACCCCTATAATAATCCCCTATATCATCCCCTATATAGCCCCCCTTTAAGGAGTGTAGACTATGGCTCATACAATCCCTATCGGAATGATAGTCTAGGGGCTTTAGGAGGGACCCTTAATGGGGACCCTTTTAGCTTATTGGGGGTAATATGGGTACTACCTGATTATATAGGGGGGATATAAAGTCTATATAAGGGTTATATAAGGTAATGGGATTAGGGGTCCCTTCTAGGGGTCCCTCCTAACAACCCTTGAGATAGAGCCTAAAGGTGCATCACTGCACAAACGCTCACACCCTCTCTGAAATGCCTTGCAGAGAGTTTCCCAAAATACGGAGACCCCAATATGGGCCACAACATATTAGCATTCTCATTATAGGTTGGTACCCCTAATTTTGGGAAACCCCTAAATCCTCATAGAATGGTCGAGATATCCCAGGTGCTGCAAGATGTTATCCATCAGCACCGTATACCGCCAAAACGCAAACACGCGGTTAAGGGTTTAGTGTTTGGGGTGTACGGCTTAGGGCTTAGGGCTTAGGGCTTAGGGTCTAGGGCTTGATATCTTTACACTCCAGAACCCTATAGCCTTAGCCTTGCATAGCTCCTAAAAATAAGTTGAACGTGCCCTAGACTCGTTTGCTGCTAAGGTACTTAAATCAAGTTACTATAGGTTCCCCCAAAATGGTAACTTCATTTACCTCAAGTAAATACCGTTATAGATTCTCCATTCTGGTAGGCCCAACCTAATTAAGAGACCCTCCCTAAACCCTAAACCACAACCCCTTAACCCTGAATGGACGCTAAACCCCATTTCAGCTCTTAACAGCAACCCAGTACACTCCAAAGCCCGCCGACCTGGTTCGCAAGACCGTGGAGCGGGCCCGCCTAAGTCTTACCGTTAGGGAACTTTAAGTTTAGGATACCACAAACTGTAAACCGTTGGGGTTTAGGGTTTCGGGGTCATGGTTTAGGGCACCCTAAACCCTAAACCGCTACAGTTAAGGGTTTAAAGTTCAGGGTTACCACGAAATGAAAGAAAGCTGCGGTTTCGGCTTCAGGTTAGGCAAGGGAGAAGAACATGGATGTTCTAGGTGATCATGTAGGGGCCACTGTAGGGATCCATTCCTCCATTCCTACCAAGAGCCAGCAAGTGTTCTTGTGAACGCCCTGAGTTCGGGCTGTAGCCTTGCAGTTAAGCTTTGGGGTTTTGGGTTTAGGGTTATATCTTAGGTCAATCCCCCCTATAGTAATGGCTCCTTAATAAGGAATTATTAGGGCCTTAATATACCTACAATAGTCCCTTGTGGTACCCATTACTGAGTGGAAAAAAGACCCAAGTTATATCATAAGCACATGAAAGTACAGGCCCTAAACCCTAAACCCTTACCAGGGCCTACAGTTCCAACCTCGCGCATGTCTTACTTGTAGCTACCTGGCACACAGAATTGATTTAGCTGTTCATGGATGAATTGCTAATTGGCATACATGAGCTACAGTCTAAACTCCTAGTATGCCCCTTAATAACCCCTGAAACACTCCCCTAGATAAACCCTTAGCGACCCCATATAAGGAGTTCAGACTATAGCTCATATCCCCCTATATAATCCCAGTGTCCATTTCAATTCCATGTTCTTTTTCATTTGATTCTCCATTATTGGGGGTAATATGCCCTAAACTCTAAACCAGAAACGTATTTGTCCCCCATATAAACCCCTAGGTAACACTATATATATATGTGTATATATATTCCCCCATATTTTCCTTTAACTCCATTTGAGGAGTTTTGTACTGGTGCCCAAACCTTGAACCTTGAGGGTCTAGGGTTTAGGATTTAGGGTTTAGGGTTTAGGGTGTAGGGTTCAAGGTTTTGGGGAAGATCAGGGTCTGGGGCTTCAGTTCAGAATTTAGGGTTTGCGGTTGAGGGTTTGGAGTTTCGCAGTAAAGGTTGAGGGTGTAGAGTTCTCAATGCCTGAGCCCTTTTGAACAGACAGTTACTTTGACACATACTTCTTTCAATAGGCAATTTTGTAACATACTCCCCACATTGAACGAGATAACTTGAGGGATAACATAGTCTTGCTCTGCATCGGGGATGGTACTATTCCTGTTTGAACTTCTGTAAACTTGAACATGACCTATAGTCTAAACTCCTAGTATTCCCCTTAATATCCCAATTGAAGTAATCCCCTGTATAATGCCTTATATAACCCCTTTAAGGATTTTAGACTATAGCCTATAGCTCATATTTTGTCATAGGATTCGATTTTGGGGTTTGGGGGTGAGCTCCGTGAAATCTGCTCAAATCCTTTTTTGGAAAGCTACACCCTCAACCCTAAACCCCCTTAGGTTACCTTTGCTTAGCAGGGAATGAAGCAATGGACCACTGTAGTAGTCCCTACGTAACCCAGTATAGTAGTTTCCATCTTCTTTTCCATTCCTTCAGTCCCAGCTAACCAATGGCCAGCAGGATCCTAACAAGGTTGCGTGGGAATTCCAAGGACTGCACAACGCCCACGTGGAGACACACATGGGTGTTTCCGGCTAAACGGTGGTCAAAAAAGCATGCTTGGATTGGGGTGTGTTTCGGGGGTATGTGTCGGGGGTATGTGTCGGGGGTATGTTTCGGGGCATGTTTCGGGGCATGTTTCGGGGTATGTTTCGGAGTATATTTCGGGGTAGATTTCGGGGTATGTTTCGTAGTACCGGGCTCTTGACGAAAGGGACGTTGTGGGGGTATGTCTCGAGATATGTATCTATGTATCGCTGGGGTCAAACATGCACCTTTTCATGAATTCCTGACCCCACAATTAATGGAAAGACGCATGTATGGTGGTTTCTCCAAATACTTTTTGGGGGGTCCCCATGGTAAGGATTAAAATATTTTGGGCTATAGATTGGGGTCCGTCCCTTGTTTTGGGAAACTATTATATGAGGGTTCCTCATAATTTAAAGCTCTCAGGCCTTCAAGATGCAGAAATCAACAGGTTTCGAGCACTTGCCAAACTTCAGGTGCTAATGAGGAGGCAACTGCCGTTTTCCATGCAGAATGAGCATCATATTGAAGAAAAGGTTTGATACTATCACCTGCCAGGTTGCCCAAAATGCGGCACGTGTCCAAACACCGAGCTCCTGGCCAAGCCGCACACACCCGCGGCGAAGGAATAGTACCTTCAACACCAGCACCATTTGAAAAAAAATCCTGCAGACAATCGTAATCAGGCAGCAAGCAAGAGCGAAGCGCGGCTCCCAGGACGGAATAGCAGGAGCGCAGAAGAATGGAAACAGCAGCCATGAGTGGAATAGGGTTGCAGAGTTGAGCAGTAGCAGAGGAAGAAGAGAATCACTTTACCAATTCTGCTGATAAAACAACATCACGCCAAATCCTGGACTGCTGGGCGCACGGATCACTCAGAGCACTCCCAACCAGGTGCGTAGTGTGGGCGGACACGTTGCCAGCCTCTTTCACAATGACATGCATACGTGAGAAGCTTTCATCCCAGGCATGTCAGGAATATTGAATTCTTGGCTTCAGTTTCGAGCTCTGTCAACAGCCCACGAGAAACCCAAACTGGCTTCACATGTGCATGCACAAAATCCCTCCCGGAAACGCATCTCATAGCCAGAATTATCACTTAGATCACTCAACAAACCTAGAAGCTTCAGACGTCTGTCCTGATCACAGAGATATGACCCCGGCCTTCCTACAGACAGTTTCATGGTGGCACACTACCTGGAGGCCTCATGGTCAGCATGGAGCATCAGGTACAAGCGCGTGATGTCCTTGAACTTGTCGCTGTCATTCACACCTGGGTTGTTGTTAAGGAACTCAAATGAAGTTGCAATAAAGGTATGTAATTAATGTTGGGTTTCCTTATCATAGCAACTTAATTTAAGGTCCTTAACTGTCATTCACACCTCAGGTGGTCAGCTTTGATCTGAGCATGTCCCTGCCTTGGAACTACGTCATCACCCCCAAACACTAAACCTCCCAAAACCAATAAGTGTTCCCAATGGAGTAATATTATATGAGCCAGAGTCTCAACTCCTAGTATCCCAGTTAGTAACCCCTATAACATTCCCCCATAGAAACCCCTTCAACGAGTTAAGACTATAGCTCATATAAAGGAGGGAATACTCTCTGCTAAGGAGGTGGGCGGGGTGGTTGTTATCAGGGGGAAGGGATTTGAATGCAGGTCTCTACAGGGAAACAACCCCAAACCCTAAACCGCGTTTTGGGGTTTAGATTTGTGACCAGAAGGTGTGGAATCCTGACCAGATAGCAGTTGCTGCCCTGTCTGTTGTGAGCTTGAGGATCGCTGCCAAGATACCCCAGCAGAAACGTATGTATGTTTGAGACCCTTTTCTTTAGATAATCTCAACTGGAGACCCCAAACTCCCAGTTGACACTCACGAATTCCTAGGTGTTGTAAAAGCTCTTTGCTCTTGGAGGCCCCTTATCGGATGCTTGGTGCAACAGCTAATGAGAGCCTCCACCTGCCATTCAGACCTGAAGGAAAGATAATGGCTAGCGCTTCTTGGTAGGGCTTAGGGGGCTTAGAGCTTAATATACTACAGTTACAGGCAGAGTAATAGAGAATCACATTCAAAAGAAGATGGAAAAGGAAATGGAAACTGGCTAAACAAGCATTTTTAATTTAGGGGCGAGATAGGTAGATGACGGGGACACTGGTGTTATCTTCAGTGTGATCATGAAAGACAACATAACATATCATTATATCCTGCTTGTATTTGTGGCTTTTCTCTACCTGGCTTCCTGCTGCCAAGACTTGAAAGTCTGCTGAACACGCAGCTTGACTGGCCCAGGAAGCTAAAACCTCTACCAAAACCTCTCACCAGCCTGAATCAAAACTATGGTCCCTTGCGGGGGCTCCTTATACGGTACGACTCCTAATGTCGTGGGTGCCCACAGCAAGACCAGAAACTTGACAACTGGCCAGATCCTCTACCCCAAATCCCCTACATAGACCCTAATCCCGCAACCATCAACCCCTAAACATTAAGCCCTCAACCCTAAGCCCTCAACCCTAAGCCTTAAACCCTAAACCCTAAACCAAAGCCCTAAACCTCCCGGGGGACCCCGCCCAGCATGTTGGCATAGTTGCCGGCCCAGTCCAGGGAGGGATCGCTTGGGACCTTAGATGGTTTGGGGTTTAGGGTTTGGGGTTTATTACAGTTTAGGGTTTAAGGCAGCCGCCCCCGAGATCAGGGAGTTCCATATGTCTGGGGGCCCGACTATAGACCCAAAAATACGATATTCCTCATTATAGAGACCCCACATCAAGAGAGGATGAGAAACCTGCAAAAAGCGATCATGACCGCAACAACTACGCGGATAGACCTGCAATGCTATGTTCCATTTGGTCTGGAGAAGGCTCTATCACTCTGTCGGCGGGCTGCTTTGACATCAAGAAAAAACCGGGGTACGGATTACATGGTCTAGGGCTTGGGTTTACAGTCCCCCTTAAGTAGATAGAGTATGGCTTTGGGTATATTATAAAAAGATCCCCATATACTCCATAGTCTATCTACTTAAGGGGGACTATAGGTCTAGGGCTTGAGGAGGAGCGAGAGGTCCAGCTTTAGGGTTTAGGGTTTAGGGAAAGAACAATCAAGGGCCAGGTATGGCTTCTTTGGCTTTGCATCCACTGTTGCGGCCCACATTCAAGCACCAATTGATGGTTACGAGGGAGTTCCCCGAAATCACCACTCTAGAATCCCTGGTAGGGGACCCCATAATGCCTGTGTACTTCTAAAAACTCTCTTAGTTGTTGAGAAGATTCTGGTAAGAAAATGGAATATTAGAGAGTATTGAATATGAGGCATTGCAGAAATGTCCTGACAAAGGGGGAGGAGGAGGAGGATTACTGGTTGTTAGTAGGAAATGACGTCCCTATACCTTCCTAGTCTCCAAGAGTGTGCTAATCCCCATATGAGCTACAAGCTACGTAAGCTCCTTTGCGTCCCCTTAATAACCTCTATAATAGTCCCGTACATAATTCCCTATATCAACCCCTTCAAGGAGCTTAGACTATAGCTCATATAACCTCTATATGTTCCCATTTCCATTTGATTCTCCAATATTGGGGGTAATATGCCCTAAACTCTAAACCCTAAACCCTAAACCTATATAGGCCCCATATAACCCCCTAGGTAACACAATATAGATTTATATATATATATATCTATGTATTCCCCCATATGAGCTATAGTCTAAACTCCTTGTATCCCCTTAATAACTCCTGTAGTAGTCCCCTATATAATCCCTTATATATCCCCCTTTAAGGAGTTTAGACTATAGCTCATATTGTCCCGTCCGTGATCTGAGGGAGCTACGTGCTTGCCGTTCTGGAAAACATTGCAGAAGATTCGGGCGGCAAGGACGGGCACTCGGGCCACCAGCGTCAAGGCCTGAGCTAAATCTGAAGCGGTTTAGGGTTTAGGGTTTAGGAGTTGGGGTTTAGGGTTTAGGATGTAGGGTTTGGGTTTAGGGTTTTAGGGTTTAGGGTTCAAGCGGCGCCTCGAAAGCTCACCCTTGAAGGCTTGAAGGGGGTTCTGGGGATGGAGTTGGTTCCCTTCAAAAGAGTTTTCAGCTTAGAACCAAGTCCGCTTAGAACGGTTTGAGAGAATGCTTGGCTTCCATATCATGTATGAAAAGGATGTGTACCTCTGCTCTGCGGGGGCTGCACAATTCACAAGGCTATTCTGGTTGGCAAGTTGCGGGCTGGACAAGGGTAAGCCGAGTTCTGCTGTATGGCTTGGTTGTCCGGTGCAGCTGAATTGCGGGTGGTCTCTCCAATCCTTTATCAACCTTGGCGTGGAAAAGAAGATTTTGCGTCTACCGACATTTCCCCTCATAGGAGTTATATTCCCCATGGGGGGTTACATTCCCCAATAAAACACCAATAAAACCCTAAACCATATAACCCTGATAAAACCCCTCTGCATTGATGCGAACCAGCTTGCAACATCCGACATCCCTCAGTCTGAGGCCATGGATTCACCTCCTACAGATTAGTTGCTTGTGAAAGCACATGTGACACCTTAGGTGGACCTTCTACCCTGTAATAGGGGTATAATAGGAAGATAAGAGGACCCAAATAGAATCACCATTACCCCTTACAGTCAATACTACCGGTTGTGGGGTCCACCTAAGTGACACCAAGGGGGGGAGCGGCTCCTAGATATTTACGGATAGCAGCCTCTTTCACAAAGCCACTACCTTGAAGCTTCTCATAACTATGACTTACTGGTGGTTAGTAGGGAATCAAGGAATATAATCCCTATAATATCGCTACATAATATTCCCTTATTCCCTACTAACCCCCAGTGAGATGAATCGCTTTCGGGGGTCCTGTATGACGGTTGGGATACGTAAGGGGACCTGGGACCTGCCGCATTGACAGATATGCACCTCAGAGGCAATATACATATACATTTTCTTGGGAGTTTATATAGGGAATTTAGTACATTATTCGCAACTAGCCCTTGGAAAGCGAAGATAGCCTGAGAACTTCATTAGGCGGGCTCAGGGCGAGGCATCCTCCAAGGTGTATTGCCTGAACGCAAGGTTTCTCCACAAAGCTTGGGCAATGCTAGCCCCACACTTACTGGTTCTTATAATTTCTGAGTAGGGAATAATGTATTATATAAGGAATTATAGGAAGATTCTGTTCCCTTTTACCCTACTAAGAACCAGTAAATCACCGCGGGCCATATTCTGAAGACCTTAGCCCAAGATGCGATAAAGGTTGATCTTACGACTAGAAACCTGAACCGTCGGTGTAGGGTTTAGGGTTTAGGGATGCTTCAGCGTTAAAAAAGCCCAATGCGCAAGCACAAGGAACAGCCAGGCTTGCTAACGGGCTCCCCACCAGTACTCGTTCTTCTTCAAATTTCCGGACCTGTAGGCCTGACAGCTGAACGTGGACTCAGCTTTGTTGAGGCTTGAGGGCTCTGGGAATTTGAGGATAGGAGACGCGATATTAAACTCTATGCAAGTTTCAACATAAACCCTAAAACCTGAAACCCTAAACCTCCCTAAACGCTAAATCCTAAACCCCCTAAACCCTAAATCCTAAACCCCCTAAACCCTAAACCATGTTTCAAGCATAAGTACCAAGTGACCCAGGTTCTAGGCCCTTCTTGCAGGGAGACAAGGCTCTCCCCAGGCAAGCAAGGAATGATGCGACCTCTTGCCATGAAACCCGAGGTTTTAGAGTTTTAGGGTTTAGGGTTTAGGATGTGGCTTAGGGGTTAGGGCAGTGCAGGGGGTTTAGGATTTAGGGGTTAGGGTTAGCAACTCCGCATGCATGTATGTCAACAAAGGGGATCTTCCTTGTCTTCCCGCAACTCTTGTTACAGTACATCCCAAAATAGAAACAACTCACCTTCTGGAAGCCCTGGTCATTCTGAACCACCTCATAATCCCGGTTTCCATTTCCTTCTCGGTGTTCTTTTCCATTTGCGTCTCCGTTGTTGGGGTCAAAATCCCTAAGCCCTAAACTCCTAAACCTTAAACCTTGAATCCCAACCCTGCACCCTGAACTCCGAACCCTGAACCGCAAAACCAGGTGGCCTTGCCAAACTCACTGGTGGGCTGCAGCGCCAAAAGCCCCATCGCCAGCTGGGTCATCGGGTGGGTGTCCTCCACGGTGGGACTGTGGGACTCCAACGGCTTGAATTTCAATAGGGTTTAGGGTTTAGGGTCATCTATGGACAAAGATTTTGTACTGCATTGTCTGTTGAGGGTTTAAAAGTCCAAGTTGAGTCTATTCAGAACTCAATTTGAGCTTCGAGAGGCAGCCCAATCGCATGCTTTCTAATCTTCTGTGAAGATTTTTCGAATTTCTCTAGGTTGGGATAGCAACCCACCAAACGTATGAGTCGCGGATCGCAGCAAACTGACATTCCATGAGCACACTGCATCAAAAAAGGTTTGGGGGATTTCAGAGATGTCTGGATCTGAGCCTACGTGAGCATCATTCGGGAAAAGCGTCTGAGAATCAGGATGACATAGGAGTACATTCCTAGGCAAAGGATGGAACAGTTCCCGATACGAAACACTCGTGGGAAGGGAAATGGAGCGCAATTCTGGGGATTCCAGGGGCCCTAAAGGCTAGATATAGGGTATGCAGTAGGTATATAAGAATCCCAACGTGAAGGGCCCATACTAGGGTCCCATAGCTTCAACCTGTTCAATTCTGGTGTTCTCAGAATTCTATCCTATCTGGGGTGCCCTGGATATATATCTTCTTGGAGTCTTGGTGCTGTCAAGCAGTTTAAGCGACCCCCCAAAAAGAATTGCACTGCCAACCCTCCACCTTACACCTTAGGACCTAGGTCCTGTAGAAAACCCCAAACCCAACATCCCTATTCGCTGAACCCCTAAATTCCTCAGCCCCATACCTCTAGCCCATGAACACTGAACAGCAAATCCTAAACCCTACTAGACACCAGGAAGTTCTTCCTAGCAACTCACGAGTAAACCCCATTCCCGTGGTATTTTGTACTTCTTTGTCCATCTGCTTCTGCACTGTGGGGGTAAAGTCCCTGAACCCTAAAATCTAAATCCTAACCCTGAAGCCCGAAATCCGTAAATCCGTAGATACTTCTTACAAACCTATCAGCATCCGTATCCGTACACCCCATATACTCCTGAACCATAGACCCTCAACCCTAAACCTTGAACCCTGAAAACTAAACCCATCCGGAACCCTAAACCCGAAACCTTCAATCCTTAACCCTGAACCCTGAACCCAAAACCCTCAATCCTAAACCCTAAACCAACCCTGAACCCTAAACCCTCAATCCTATTCCCTCAATAGACTAACCCTAAACTCTGAACCCCTGAACTCTAAACCCTAAACCCCTAAACCCTCAAACCCTGAACCCCTAAACCCTAAACCCTACAGTAAGATTGGGGCTGTGTCAGGTCCTTTGGGATGCTATCCACGAGCTTGATGACATCATCAGGCAGAGCAGACCTGGTTGTTGGGGCTTGAGGCCTTGGGTTTTGGCCTAGGAATTATCTAGGTAGGGTTTAGGGTTCTAAACTCCTTAAAGGGTGTGTATAAGGGATTGTCTAGGGGTTGGCCTAAACCCCGAACCCCAAGCCCTAAACCCCTAAACCCTAAACCCTAAACCCTAACCCAGGAAACTTCCAGCTGCAGGGATGAAGAGGGAACTCATGGTCCTTAGCAGCTGCTGAGAGCTGGGCTTATAACCCCACATGAGCTTTAGTCTTAACTCCTTGAGGGGGGTTATATAGGGTTTAGGGTTTAAGGTCTAATCTCCTTAAAGGGGGCTATGTAGGAATTATGTAGGTAAGGTTTTGGGTTCTAAACTCCTTAAAGGGTGTATATAAGGGATTGTATAGGGGAGTATTATAGGGGCTACTAAGGGGATACTAAGACTAGGAGTTAAGACTGTAGCTCACATGTTGCTGAGGCGGCCCATATAAGGCCACTTAGGGGAAAAAGAATAGCCCTGCCAGAAGTGGTTTCGAAGTCCCATGAACCTCCAAGTAGGGAAGGCTTCTCATAACTATCTGATCTCGCATCTCGGGCTAATATACATCCTTGGACTTTGATGTTAAGGGGACCCTTGAAGTACCCGCCTCTTGTGGAGCTCCTCATTCAAGGCCTGCCAGGCAATCACCCAGGTTTTCGGTAACCCCAATGGGAATGTAGCAAGGGATGATATGAGGATCACAGGGGATTGTGGAGGAGCTCCTACTTTTCCCAGCAGTGTCGTCACACTATAATGAGCCCAAACCCGAGTACTAAAGGTTCGAGGCATTCCCTGGCTTTTGCAGCTTCTGACTGGAAGCATCGCGCCTTTTCGCGAACGCCATGATGGGTCGCATGGACACTACCAGAACCTTTACCTAGATCCCACACCTTCAACTCCCAGTCACAAGTACTTCTGATAGGAACACGGCAAGAACAAAAGGATCCATCCAGAACAGGAAGCAAATCTTGCGTCCTGTTGCGATCTTGGGGTTTGCTGTGCTATTCCGAGGTTATCGGACACGCACGGTTTAGGGCTCAGGGTTTACGCCAACATCTCAGAGGCTGCATCCACTACATCTCCTTCAAAAAGTTAGCAGAAGATTTGGAAGCGAGGAGTTGTCAGCCTTCATCCACCCTTCCGCATGGAATCCCGATTATCATCATTCTAATGACTTTGCAACCCAGCTGATCCCTTCCCGCCCCCGACAATAAGCCACTCGACTAAAACAAACAAAAATTAAGAAAAACTTGTTCGATATAATACCTGTATTTCATACGAGGGAATTGGACATTTTGAGAAACCCAAAATCCTAAACCCAAAGCCCTAAACTCGAAGCCGCGAGGGGGAGGAGTATCACCGTTGACCCAACCTTGACTTCGGCATCCGTGGGAATCTCATCTGTCAGCAGGAGCCAGAAGGACGCCTGGAGCCCCAAGTAATCCCCTTCCCCTCATGTCAAAATACCGCACCCCCTTAGCACGACATATTCCTAGTGGGAATATTTGACATTTGCGTGGGGCTTTCGACAGAAGGGAGGCGGTTAGCTTGATTCGGCGGGGTTTTCTCTTTTGTCTGACAGACGTCAGGAAATTAGAGTTGGGCGCCTAACGCGCAGCTCAGTAGGGTAACACTCAATTGTGAACCAACAGTCATAGCAAGGAATCATAAGCAGTGATTAAAGAATAAGTGAAAACTGAATTGTCAGCTTTGAATACTGTGATGAGAAACATGAAGCAAAATTATAAGCCCTAAACCCTAAAGCCCTAAACCCCTAAAACCCTAAACCCTAAACCCTTAAACCCTAAGACCCCCTTTTTGCATTACGCCCATAGGCTGAAGGCTGTCGCAGGTCAAAGTAGGAGGCATTTCCTTATGACTCGACTGTGTCCTGCCGAGAGATTGACTGTGCTATAGACAACCAGGGTAATGAAACGCACTATCCTTCAGGATCTTGCATTGCTTGCACTCTGAGCTGCTAGCCCATTAACGTATGCTATACGTTTAATCTAAAGGCCTAAATACTTACCAATATAATTTTGAAATCACTTGTACAAGGAAACGAGGACCAGAATATGTGTAGTTCTTCAGGCCTCTGTGAGCTACAGTCTAAACTCCTAGTATCCCCTTCAATAAAGCCTACAATACTCCGCTATATAATCCCATGTAGGCCCCGAGCCCTCAACACTAAACTTTCCCAGTCAAGTGGTTCCGAAATTATCAACATAGCGAAGATTGTGTTGTTTTTGTGGTGGACATAAAGATTGTGAACTGGAACCTTAAAAGAACATCGGTGATATCCCGGCATCCTAAGACATGCAGTCGTGTCCATTCTTTCCATTCCCAAACCCCATTTGGGTGGTTGCCAAAATTATGGTCCCTTTTTGGATCCCTATTATAATACGGCACCTAATATTTAGGGTACCCAAAAAGGGACCATAATTTGACAACCACCCATTTGCTTCTTCTACTTTACCCTCCAGGTCCCACACCTCGGGAAGGCCGATCTTGCTGCCCGGCGCTTTCGGGAGCTGGTCCATACACTCCTGCGCAGAGTATCTTGGCTTTATTGTTCAGGAACTTAAATAACTTATAAGAAACCCTACTATTTAGTATGTGCCGGAATTGACCCCAAGATACGATGATCCTGATTTTGCAGACCACCATAAAGGGACCCCAATTTTTTTGGAAGCCACCATGTAGGCACGTCATGTTACCTTTTTTTCAGCTCCTTAGCAGCAGCTCCTGGGCATGCACCGGGAGAAATAAGGTTTGAGGCCTTCAATTTAGATCTCTAGAGTTGTTTTATTGACCCCTCTGTAGCTTTCGAAACGTTTACAAGTTCAAAAAGTCTTCTACGTTGCTGTTGCGTCAGGCCGTTTGGCAAACAAAGAAAACTCTGTGATACAGGGCGGGGCACCTAGTGCCTGGTGTCCGGCCTAATTCAAGATGAACACGGGCGGGGTCTTCAGAGCTTGGCTGCCGAGCCTCATGTTTGGGGTGTAGGGTTTAGGGTTTAGGGGTTTAAGTCTGGGATCAAGGGTCTTGAATGGGAGATCAACCAACACATGCTAGTGTGACATGTCATGGCTTGCGGACCCGAAAGCCTAAAAAAACATAAAGCCCCCAAGGCATGAAACCCAAGAGCCCTCAACGCGGTTTAAGGGTTTAGGGTTTAGGGTTTCGGGTTTAGGGTCCCTCAAGCCTTTAAACCATTAAGGCCTTGAAGCCCTAGAGCCCATTTCCACAATATTGCTCCTGCAGGGTGCGGCCACGGTAGCGGATGCCCTCCATGGGATCCTGCAGGCACATGTAATGGCCAACAACGGAGTGCAAAAACTCGAAAATGCAATGGAAACCCTAGGTCTCCTCATATAGGAAGCCCAAAAAATTGTACGGATATTGTACGGATAATGGAGAATGAAATGGAAAAGAACATGGAAAATGAAATAGAAACTGGGGTTACCCTAAAAACCTAAACCGTAAACCTGGGGATTGGGGCTTGGAATGGGGGGTGTCCCTTTAGGGTTTAGGAGTTTAGGGTTTTAGGGGTGGTAGGAGTTTCATTCCTAAGCAAGCAACCGCAGGGTTTAGGGAAAAACGTTTTCCAACATGTCCGTATTCCTACTAGCTATAGGGGTATCTGGGGATTATTCGAGGGGGGCATGAGGGTTCCTTCTACAGCCTCTACACGGGACATTTTGAGAAACACCAACGTTTCAAAGGAGGATGTTGGTCACACATGGTGTTGCAATGTAATGTTGGTGGAAACGATCCAGGACAAGCTTCCTAGATTGAAACGATATGGAAGTTTAGCACAACTAGCAACCTTGCTTCCATCAACAACATCGCAGCCATCAGGTCCAGGAATTCTTGGAGGAGTTCCACTGCCGCTGAGGATTGACTTCCCAAGCTTCAACATAGCAAACCCTAAGCCCTAAACCCTAAACTCTGAGTCTGTTGCCAGAAACCCTAAACTCTGAGTCTGTTGCCAGGCGCCCTGCCTCCGCCACCTTGATTTACTGGTGGTTAGTAGGCAATGAAGTAATAAGATGCAGGAACTATCGCAACGGACTACATAAGCACTACTTTGTCTAGATCCTAAACCCTAAACCCTAACCCTAGAGCGCTGTCCATGTTCTTTTCCATTATCCCGATATGCTCCCTTGTTATTCCCTACCCTGTAAAACATCTGGAGCCCTTCCTCCATAACCCTAAACCCTAGCCCTAAACCCGAAACCCTAAACCCTAAACCCCAAGCCCTAAACTCTACCGACCGTGAGAAGGATTGGTCTTGCCTCGAGGATCGAATGTTTCTCGAAATATTGGGGTATATAAGGGTAACTGAGTCACATAGGGATTATATATAGGGATTATATAGGGGTATGTAAAGGGTATATAGGGGTATATAGGATTATCTAGGGGTATATAAGGGTATGGTATATAAGGATTATATAGGGATAGTGGAAAAAGAAAACGGAATTACATAGGGATAATGGAGAAAATAAACGGAAACTACATTTCATATAGGGATACATAGGGACCTTAACGAGATTGCTGGGGGTCCCTTATTTGCAGGCATACTAAGGATTTTTGTTGAGACTTGGTAGACCCCAAAAAGCTATAATCCATATTTTAGGGACCCCCAAAAACGTACCGCTAATTTTGGGAGACTCAGGGGTACACCTCTAACTGAACCCAACCCTCCCAAAAGCATCTCCAGCAGGGAGGTTTCGCTGATCAAGCACTTGATGCCGCGCATTCCTCCAATGCACCTCAGACGGGCAGGCAGAATAAAACGATGTTCTCTGTGGGTTAAGGCTTTCATCTCACATAGTGGAATATAGCGGAGGCAGGGTAGGCTCCAGGACGGCTAATGAAGGCTCATTTTGCCATCGCCCATAGTTCTTGTTCAACAGAGCACCTTCGACCCCACCAGCAGCTTTGAGATGTCCCTAAAATAACAATGCATTAGGAGGACCCCCCACCCTGTACTGGCAATAAAATAGGAATATAAGAGGACCCTAATATAATCCCTATTANCCCTTATAGTCACTATTACTGGGTGGGGGGTCCACCTACTTGATAACTATTTCGGCCCTTACAAGTGCTGAGGCGATTGGCCTTGCCGGCTTTGTTGTGCATTGTTTAGGTGGACCCCCGACCCAGTAATAGTGACTATAAAAACCTGGTTAGGACAGGAGATGCGAATTCATACTCTCACTCAAATACTGGTTCATGTGGGAGTTTCTCAAAACTACCCCCTATACAATTCCCATAAGGACCCCGTAATCTCCTTGTAATCCCTATGGAGGCCCAGGATCCCTAAAAAAAAACCTGGTTACACCCAAAATCCTAAACCCAAATATAGGTACGGTTTAGGGTTTAGGGTTTAGGGTTTAGGGTTTAGGGTTTAGGGGTCTCCATAACCCCTGCAATCATCGAGCCACATAGGGTTCCAAGAAGAGGATCTTGGCAACCCCCCACACCCCGCCCCTTGGTAGAACTATATATCATATGACTTTAACAAGGTCGTAATTTGCAGGTTGGGGCTGCCAAAATCCTATTATTAAGCATGAACTTCACACACATCCTTATGGTTCCTCGTCTGACCTGTATCTCACGGCAGGTAGATTGAAGGTGATGGCAATTCAGGAGGTTCATCTCTTGCAGCGGGATTCTGGTTCATGTTCGCCAGACATCTAAAACAAATCCAGCCTCCGATGGCAAACTGGAAGCTAATATATGTCCCCTACTCCCTACTATAACCCCCAATACGTACCCTATTCTAATATGGTAATTTCCACTTTCTTTTCCATTATCCCTATATTACCCCTCTATTCCCCAAACCTTCCTGAAACCCGGAAAAGGCTTTGCCTTGATGTTCACCAGATGTCACAAGAAGGATAACTGAGTCATATAGGGATAATGGAAAACAAAATGTAAACTACCAGGTCATAGTAGGGAATAAGGGGAAAGCAGAACCACAAGAAAAGTAGGAAAGAAAAAAAGAAAACTATGATGTTGCTCGGGTTCATATATGGACTACTACACTGAAATTTCGAGAGGCAGCTACATGCGAAGCTCTCTAGCCTCCGGTAGCGGGTGTTTGCTAATGAGGCTGGTTGAAATCGGGATGGTGAGGGAGTAAACCCTAAACCCTAACCCCAAAACCCCTGAACCCTAAACCCTAATCCTGGCCTGCGATCTCCTCCCCTAGCAGTCTCTCAGCATGTGCAAGGTCGTCTCCAAGATGTTCGCTAGCTTACTCGGTAGTCTTCCTTTGCAGTCTCTTCAATGACAGGACAAAGGTTTAGAGTGAGGTTTTAGGCTGTACTTACTGGTGGTTACGCTGGTGGTTAGTAGGGAGTAAGAGAATATGATCCCTATAAACTCCATAGAATATGTTCCCCTACTCCGAACCAACCTTCAGTAAGTTTAGGGGCAAGGTTGGCGACACGATGAACATCCTGAGCGAGGCCAGCTTGCGCAACGAGGAAGCTAATCTAGGGTTTAGGGTTTTGGGGGCCCTATAGAGATTCAATTCCTATGGCTTCAAGGAGTATAGAGGAATGAAGGGCAACAAAATTTGAAGATATTTCCAAACCTACTCCTGTAATCCCAACACCTGTAAGGCACAGAGCATAGGCAAAGTCCAGTGACCACGAAGATATCGGCAATCATACTAAGGTCCCTCCGAATTCCAATTCAAGATCACCTGGCCCAGGAGACTCCAATGGCATCCCCTTTTACCTTAGGTCAATTACCCCCTGTAGTAATAGCTCCTTAATATGGAATTAGGAGGGCCTTTATATACACTTACAGTAGTCCCTTGTGGTACCCCTTACTCAGTTGGGGGGATTGACCCAACGTTTAGATGACAAAGAATCCCCTCCCTAAACACCCCTAATCCCTAACATTAAATACGTACTGGTGGCTTGTAGGAAATAAGAGAATATATTATATAGAGAAATATTATATAGAGGGATTATATATCCCTATTCCTTAGTAACCAGTCTAATGAGAATATGTCCCCGAACATTTAAGCTTTCCTATGGGTAGGAAAGGGGACTAAACCCTAAACCCTAAACCCTAGGGTGCTGAGGAGCCCGGCTGTCCAACAGTCGAATCTCCCAGGGACTTGTCCCCATGATCCTGTGTGGTGAGGCGAGGTCATCACTCAGCCCCGGGGGTTTCACATGAGGCATTGTCTAAACTCCTAGTATCCACCTTAGTTACCCTTATAGTAGTCCCATATATAATCCCCCATATAACCCCTCTTGAAGGAGTTTAGACTACAGCTCACATGATTTTGGGGTACTTTTTGGGGTGGTCCACATCTTACGGAGTATAGTATTTTGGGGGCTCTGTTGGAGGTTGGGAAACTACCAAATCTGAATGACGTTGCAGGGGCACTGAGGACATGTCATGAAGTATTTTCGCGGCATCATGAATCATTAAGGTAGTTGTTCCTACAGCTGCGCACCCACTCTGGCAACAATCGGCGCTAGTGCTCGGATGTCAATTATTCCTACTCCCAGATCCCAGGTCGGCGAAGAATGGCTATCTATCCATACCTCTACATCTGCACCTGGTGCTCTATTTCCTCTTCTCCATCAAATTAGATGTTTCTTGCGTTTGTTCGTGAGTTCTTCTGTTCTTTCGGTCGATTGCGTTTTGACAGCTGGCAATGGCCTTGCGCATATTCGATTGGCACAGGCTTATCATCAAAATCATGCAAGCATGATGTTGGGGCAGCAACGAAGGCAAACAATCCTGCAATTTGACCAAATGAAAGATTCTGACCGGGGTGAGCGCCCGGTGAAAAGCTTAGCCAGCGTCCTGATGTAGTTTCTTTGGCGCCCAAGCAACCCTATCTATGCTCACTACAAGCGATCATGGTAGCTTTCCCTCACATGCTTCCGGATGCCTTCCTGAGCGCCTGGAACTGTGGCGTCTTCTTGTCAGCCAAAGCCTCACCGCATCTAGTATCCAAAGGGTTTACTAAGGGGTCTTGAGAAATCATGAAGACTACACACAAAACCATTCCCTAATTCCAAAATGACCTAGAGGTCCTAAGCATTAGATGGACAATGAAAGGGAAACTGGGTTCATATAGGGGTTTATGGGGGTTAAATGTGTGGGCAGAGGTACTTAATATTGGGCTCTGGGGAATATGTTCTACTACAAGGGCATAAGATTCAGTTAGAAGCGGATAGGACTCAAGATGTATCTCGCAGTCCTCTTGAGAAAGTCCAAGCAGAACAGTCCACGCAATACAACCAAAATGGTGCAAAATTATTCTGTTCAAGCATCCCCAAACCCTAAACCACAAAATTGCACTGTCGGGACACTCTGGGGTCGGGTTGTGGAAGGACACTCCAAGATTGGGCTCCAGGACAACTGTGGGGTAGGACACTGCAGGGACACTCTGTGACTAGGCACTGAGAATGCTCTGGGGCTTTGGAATGCAGACCATCACTTGCTTTCGGTTTACCGTGCTTTGGCCTTGCAGTATTCTGTGTAGTGCCACACGTGCTGAAGCTGCCGAAATGTACTCTGCACGCGCGCGCGCGCGCGCGTGCAATGTATGGGCGGTTGATAGTGTGCGTTTATGTAGGCGGGCTGAGGTTCCGTTCGATGCTGCTGTTCAGTCCGCATCCCCAACCGGCCCAAGACTGAACTCCACATGCGAGCCAGAATCATAAGTTCACCACCTGCATAGCAACAGGAGCTCAAAGGCACGCATAATTACTGGCAAGGGCTTTGGCTCTAGATGTCTTCTCTGGCTGACATGGTTTATGTCGTCGTTTCAGAAGGCAATGTTATATTGTTGTACGTCCAGCGATGTTTGAGGCTTGGCACGTCAAGCACTACTGTCCCAGGGGAATGCCTGCTCTTGAACTCCTCACCAAGTCTTGAAAAGCCCGTGTTCATGGTGGGAATTTCATAGAATTTCTGACGCAATGTCCAAACCTATTAAAAAGCGCCTGTATGAAAACACTACACTACGACACACAACATAGCCCAAATGGTCGTGCAAGCCAGTGCTAAATCACATTGAGGGACCTATAGTTAACAGAGTCTTGGTGTCAGGGTCACTCCAACAATTCAATCTTGAAAACGGGCCAATAATCCAGAGGCCATCTCACTGCTTGGAGAGCTGGCTTGTCTTCATCTTTTGGGCAGTCTTGGCTAAGAGAAACTAAGAGAACCCTGTTTGACCGCTTTGCTGAGATAAATTTTTAAGTTCGATACTAAGTTCCATCCACATAATTTGCGCGCCTTGATCTTCGACTGAAGAGTGCCCACGATAGCACTCTGGGAGAAAGCCCGGCGCCTAGCACCGCTAGTCTGCAATTGTGGCTGCACCGCCGCTGCTAGTACAACCGCTGATGCTTTTCAAGGTACCGCCACCACCACCACCGCCCGCACCATCAGGCGCGCCGCCAGGACCACCACCGCCAGGACCAAAACCGCCAGGACCCACCACCACCAGCACCACCACGAGGACAACTACAAGGACCACCACCGCCGCCGCCGCCGTTTCCTCCGCCACGACCACCACCACCAC